GGTTAGCAGTCAAGTGCCTTAGGCACTATGCTACCAGAGCTCCTATAGAACCGAGTAAAAATGCACCACAGGGTTTCTAAGGCTTATTTATGAAAACAGACTGCCACATCTTTCTTTCATGGAGGGATTGGTGAGTTTGAATCATAAACCTTTTGGTTAGCAGCTGAGGGCTTAATCACCACTGTGCCACCAGGGGTCCTTAAGTAATATATATAAGGCTTTGTAAATGTAATGTCTACAGGGGTTAGCCTCTCTGTACAGTGAAAATAAACAGTAGTATTAAAGAGTTTGATGTTCTGAGTGTGGTTACCTAAAGTTATATGTTGGTTTTTAAAACATATGTAAGATTTTATCCACTTAGGCATGTGTTCTGCAACTAGGCTCATGGTCAAACTTTAAGTCCTTGATTTTAGCCTAACTAGATGACCAAAAATAAAATCCCTGATAAGGGATAAATAAAATTCTCTGATAAGGGAACCTGATGACTGGCCTGGATTTGGTTAAGGATTGTGAAATGATGAAATAACATTCATTTATATCCTGACTAAATGTGCAAATTTTACAGTGTTGATGAGGAATTTGTTACTCTAGATTTATTTGTTGTTGTTATTGTTATGTGCCGTTGAGTCAGACCCGACTCATAGCGACCCCTCCTTGGATTTCCAAGGGGTAAGTCAAATAACCAGGTCAGGTTAAGTATTTTTAAATTTAGTCAGCTAAATTGAGCTTTTTCCCTTTAAAGGGTGGGGTGGGGTGGGGAAAGAACCATATATTGTATGGTCAAAACAAATGGAAACAATGGTTTTCATTCTTAGACTTGGTGTCCATTTAGTATCATCTGAACACGTTCATTTGTTCTTATTTTTGTATCTTATCCAACCAGCGTGGCTTTTGATTTTTGTTTGTTTTTAAAACAAGCCTACAATTCGGTTGGAGTCCCTGGCTGCTGCAAAGAGTTAAGGCCCTGGGCTGCTAAGTGAAAGTTCGGAGCTTTGAGTTTATCCAGAGTTGCCCTAGAAGAAAGGCTTGGCAATGCACCTTTAAAAGCTCAGCCATGAAAAACATTGTGGGGTACAGTCATACTCTGACACATATGGGGTGGCCAAGGGTCAGAGCTGATGCCACAGCAACTGGTTAAGGGGTGACAGAATTTCCTAACACTTCATTTTTCATTCCACAACCATACCACTGATTTACCAAGTTACTAAAAGTTTGCACCATCCCCTTGAGAAGTGAAAACAAACAAACAAACAACAACAACAAAAAAAAACTGCAATAGGCAGGGCACTAAATAGTTATTTTGTATGAATAAGTTCTGTAAGCATCTTTCTGCAGATGGGTAATTTGCTCAGAACCAAGGGATTGCTTACTGGATCTCTTAAGGTCTTTTTTATTTCTTAGTTTTTATAAAGTCATTTTCGGGGTTACTTCTTTAAAGTGTGAAATGTCACATTATGAACATTATATAAAATAGCTTAAATTTACAGCTTCTAGCATTTTAAATTTTGCCCTTTTATATTGATTAATCACCATTATCAATATAGTTCAGTATTATCAGTTTTATATGGATAATATATAGTAAAATTATCTGAAACATAAATCATGGGTTATATGTACTCTAGAGCAGCTACAAAATTAAGGCCTTCTCTTAAGTATTATAATAAAGCAACCCCCAAATTTTCTGTTAAATATTTTCTCTTTTCAACTGCTGAGCTTCTCCCATTTAAACCCTCAGAATAAGTTTTATTATAATCTGACACTGGAGCTGCAGTTTTTTAAGAAAAGAAAATCAAAGTCTTATATGACAAGTGCCTAATGTGTCTAGGCCGCAAATAATACCTTATCTTGACTAGAATACTCAGTTTACATGTAACCACATGCTGTTCTATCCCTACTCTCAGGAGTAAAGGGGCATAACATTTTCATTGCATATATGCTGTTGTTGTTGTTAGGTGCTGTGGAGTTGGCCCCAACTCATAGCGACCCCTCCTTGGGTTTCGGAGGCGGTATCACTATGGAAGTAGATTGCTCAACCTTCCTTCCGAGGAGTGGCTGGTGGGTCTGAACCTCCAGCCTTCTGGTTAGCATTCAAGTGCCCTAGGTACCTCGGAAACCCAAGGAGGGGTCGCTATGAGTCGGGGCCGACTCGACGGCACACAACAACAACAACAACAACAGGTACTATACTACCAGAGCTCCTATTGCATATATAGGAAGGCTCACTTATAAGGCATATTTACTCCCTGCCGTAGAGCAGAATCTGACTCGTAACGAACCCTCTTTGGGTTTCCGAGGCAGTATCTCTATAGAACTAGATTGCCCAATCTTCCTTCCAAGGAGTGGTTGGTGGGTTTAAACCGCCAGCCTTCTGGTTAGCAGTCAGATGCCTTAGGCACTACGCCACCAGTGCTCCCCAAGGCACATTTAGGAGGAAACAATTATTTTGAAAGAAAGAAATAATGATAATATGGTCTTTCTAATTAGTGTTTGGGAGGAAGATGAGGCAATCTACTTCTCTAAAGATTTACAGCCTTGGAAACCTAATGGGTGTCACTATGAGTTGGTATCGACTTGATGGCAATGGGTAATTAGTATTGGAAAAGATAGAAAAAGCACTTTAGCAGCTTGCTTATGTCAAATGTCAAGTCATACTATTGTGATACATAGGACCTTGGTTTAATAAAATGGCTGAAAACTACTGGCATAAAATTTAAATCTGATTAATTTTAAACATATATAGGTCATATTTCATAATTTTTTTCAGATACTTTAGAGCCTGGTGAGAGAAAAATGTTCAACTTCATAAACTAAAATACAAAGTTTTATTATGCAACTTTTGCTAGTCTTATTTACCATGACTGACATATAAGAGTGAAATTAAATTATACCAATTTAATACTATTTTCATATTTATTAACTCAAGTACATTCTCTCCCTTCAAATGTTAATTTCTTAGTCTTCTTGGAAAACTACAATCATATGTTTTTTAAAACTTTGTAAAACACCAGGTTTGTTAAATAAAGAAGTAAAAATGCTTCACCTAGGAATGATCCAAAATATAAAAGGAAATAAAAGATCAAATTTATTTAGAATGTCTTACTTTTCATTTGATCTTCTGTTCCTTCAGGATTAAATGATCTTTAAGCTATAATATTTAATGAAAATAACATTTGAAAATTTTTATCCTTATTTGTACCTTAAAATTGAGGTTTTGTAGCTGCTTTGAGAGCTACTAGATAGATAACTACAATGAAGCCAGTTTCCATGAATAAAACAAAAATTCGTTCACAGTTTTCATAAGAATAAATCCATCTTTTTTTGGTCATAGTCAATATACAAGAGGCAGTTGGTGTGGTAAACTGATTTCACTATAATTGGAGACCCACTCATCTAGTGTCAATTTTCACTGGTAAGCTATTATATCAAACAGTATTTATTGAATATCTTATTTTCAGGCCCAAGGCCACTGCAATTAAAGATTCCTGTAGTACACATGTGCTATTATAAAAAGATTTTCTTAAGAACTTTTGATAAGGCACTTTAAATGCATAATGGAACAATAATCTCCAGTGATGAAGCTTTTTAAACCCAATAGCTATTGATCTTTCTTGGGTTACAAATAAATAAATATGTGATTACATGTAATTGTTCTAGGAATATGAATGCATCATTAAAGGCAATTATTAATTGTTGGGTGCCAAAGAGCATGATTCCATTTCCCTTCTCTAAAAGAAACTTGACTGTGGTCATTCACTTTGAGATGGTCAGAAGCATTTACTAGTCTAGATGGCATGGGAAAGTTGTACTTACAAAATCCATAGGAAGGATAGAAAGAACAACCAAGTGTTTTTTGGGCAATAGAGTTTTGGGGAAAAATGTTCCCAGGTGCCTGTAATCCATACAACATTTGACTGGCAGAATTAGGTGCCTGCAGACACTGCCCCCTGAAGTCTTCAGATGAACCATTTTTTGAATTGGTGGCCCCCAGGGAAGATAACATGGGCATTTCCATCACAAGTGGGGCTAAAGCCTGGGAACCCTTGCTGCTTGATAGGCTTTCAGGAACAGGCAAGACAAGGGGCTGCTGTTGCCAAAAATTAGTTGGGCAAATCTTGTAGCAAAGGGGCAGATTGCTAGTGTGCAGGTATGCCTCTAGACAGGGCATTCCAAGGTAGCTTGTAGGTAAGTGAAATGTAGGCGGGGAGCAAGGTGGAGAAAGCAAGGGGTTCAAAGGAGAAGGAGCCCCTCCACTAGAGGTCACTGGAGATGATCCACTGCTTCCACCTGTAAAAGACAATTTGGGAAATGAATAATGAACTTCATATTCCTGCTGAATAAGTAATCATATTCAAGACCATCCCTGCTTCGTTCTTAAGTTATGTTTCTTTGCAAGTTCACAGTTCTTTCAGTTTCTCCAGGAAAGGACATGCTTATTCCTCTAACCAAAATTGAATTAGTATCTCTACTCCTACCACCACTAATATTAGAACTACTACTACGTATCGTCCATTGAGCATTCACTATATTCAAGGACTCTAATAGGCATTTGAAACACACTTATCCAATGAATCACAAAAGAAGTCTGATTATAATGCCACTTGGATTCAATTATATCTTACAAGTAAAACTAGCTTTTTATTTTTTTTTAACTTTTTAAAAAATGTTTACTAACAAATAATTGTCTAAATTGAACAAATTGCTTGTTTGGATTTATATATAGCTTCAGTCTAATAAAAGCATCCTGGTGGTACAGTGGTTGAAGGGCTCAGCTGCTTACAAGGTCAGTGATTGGAACACACCAGTCACTCCTTGGGAAGAAGATGTGGCAGTCTGCTTCCATAAAGATTACAGCCTTGGAAACCCACTGGGGCATTTCTATTGTGACCTATAGGGTTGCTATCAGTCGAAACTGATTCACCCATAGTGGGATTTTGGTTTTTCAGCTTCATAAAACTCAGTGAACATGAATCTGATATTGTACAAACGAAAATGGCACACTTAAAAGCATTAAATTTTATTTTCTTGTATCAAAATAATGAAGGGGAGACTACCATGGTTCACTATACAAAGACTTGAAGATACAGATTTCAGGACAAAGTATAACTACTCCACAGGGTTTCCAAGGCTTTAAATCTTTAAGGAAACAGACTGCCTCATCTTTATTCCAGGGAGCTGCTGGTGGGTTCAAAGCGCCAACCTTTCTGTTAGCAGCCAAATGCCTTAACCACTGTGCCATCAGAGTGGATTTGACTCCATGGCAGTGACTTTTGGTACCATCTTCTAAAATTAGGAATAATTATAAAGACGAGGGAAATCTAAATCTTAAACTTTATTTTTGTGTTTGAACTCAATCAAACAATTGGTTATTGTCTGGACTTCATCAAAGTTGTTTGTTTTGTTTTGGTTTTAGTGTTGCTGTTGTTTTTCTTAGTTATTTTGTGTATGTAGATATAACCTAATCCTTTATCAACAGTGAAGCAATTATCTCTGTAATAAAAGATTCAAATGTTATTTTGAAAAGTGGACCCTTTTCTTTGAAGACTGAGAGTATTCTGAACATCTTAAATAATGCACTTTAATGTGGATGGCCATTTAAAAAATATCCTGTCTAGACTGTAATAGTCAAAGTGATACTGTCAAATAACTGTTTATATTTTTCTATGGAACTCTCTAAACTACATCAGTGCAGCCAATTCAGTGAAATATTTCTCTGAATGATTAAACTTACTCTTTTCACATTTTAACTGATTCTTATGGAATCCTCTAAAACTCAATCTAACTACAATGTTAATAATTTACTACATAATTGTAATCTCAAATTAATGTTCAAAGACAAGCAACTTCAATGGAGTAAAGACAAAAGAGGTAAATATGCCATGTTTCTCACAAATAAAGACTCTTTATTGTTACATTCTTCCACCAGAAATCCCGCTTTGCCTGATTGCTATTTAGCCATGTGATATACTACCTTGAGCACAAAACTTTTCAAATATTTTTGAATTCTTGTAGAAATTAAATTAATTTTGATGGCTTAGTATTATTTTCTTCACTCACAACAAAAGGAAAATTGTGGTTAATTGATGGTGCATCAATTAACCACAATTAATTTTAATGGAAATCATTTTTAACATATTCTGAGAGTTTTGCACAAAAATTAAAATATTTATTCACTATCTAACATGCTTGCAAATAAGGCCACACATGCACAATAGGAAGATCTTAAATAATATGAGCTATGGAGATCTCAGAATGCAAGTAAACTCAAGAAGACAGTTGTCAGTAAAGTCCACTATTACCACAGTGCTACTCTCTTCCTTCATGCCAGCTACCTCCACTTTTGCCTCTAACCTACTCATAATGGTAAATATGATGTACCCATTTGCGTGTAAACATACATTTTCTAGCATGTTCTTATCCCTTTGTGGTGGCACAATGGTTAAGCTCTTGGCTACTAAACAAAACGTTGGCAGTTTGAACCCACCCAGTCACTCATCTGGAGAAAGAACTGAGGATCTGCTGGAGAAAGACCTGGTGACCTACTCCCAAAAGTATTACAGCCTAGAAAACACTATGGGGCAATTCTACTCTGTCATGTGAGGTCATTGCAAAATGAACTCTATGACATCTAACAACACAGTATTTGGTACAAGGTTTCTGGTTGGTGATAGTTCATTAACACATGAAAATAAAACTTAAGAATAGAAATTTTCTTACTTTGTGTGCCTGCACCAAAGGTTTTAAAATCCAGAGTGAGAGAAGGTCTCCATGTGTAGGTCTCTAAAAGACCATCCAATACACCCCTAAAAAAGAGAATCAACTTTCAGCAATGCCAGAATTCTATTTCTGAAAGTAATGATTTATATAAACCTTTGATTTTGTTACAGTTTTTAGGGGTGATGGTCTGAAATATTATTCTGCTGTAGCTAGACTTCTGAATGAAATCCACTCAAACCCAGGAATCTAGAATAAGTGATACCTTAATGTAGGTTGGGGAAAAAGTGGCAGGAGGCAAGGTTTTGGAGACTTAACATCTGGCTTCCATTCCTACCACCTCCTAGATACATAGTCTCTGAGCCTCCGAGTCTCAGTTTATTTATCTTTAACACTTGTGAAATGTCCTACATAAATATCAGACATGATTGTTATTGTGTTGTTTACCTGTTTCTTCCAGGATCTCTAAATCCTTTAGCAAAAGGATTCCTGTCTATTTTCAGTTTTGTAATCTATGGATTCAAAAGAAATAAAGTCTCAGTAATAACACTCTCACCATTGCTTTTAATAGTTACAATCACAAAAACACTTTGTAACTTGTAATATGGAACTCTATGTAAATGGAAGCATATTGCTAAATTAAATTTGGAACGGTTATCTCCTGGTCACCTTTGCTCTGCTCTCCTTTCTCACAAGAGCCACACAATTTGTAATCAAACTTGCTTTGATGGCAATGTAACAAAACACTAAAAGTTTTCAACTGTGGGAAAAAAAAATCCATAAAGTGCAGCTTGTCTCGTCTCACAGTTCCCTCTGAGGTCATCCCCACTTTCCTTGCCTTACCTGCTGGTTCTGGTAGGCAGTCACTGTAGTGAACTCAGTTTCTTTAAAGGAAAATGTTTTAACCCCTTCAGTAGGCAGGGACTGAATCTGGGACAGGTCAATCCTGCTGTCCTGCTCCATCACGTGCACGCGGGGCTTGTACTTGTGCATGGACTGTAGAATGATCTGGGAGTGAAATGGTCAAATGTTGCTTGCAAAACTGGCTTCTCCTCCAAACACTGCCCAACTCTCATCGCCACGCCCTAGCATGAGCACACACAAAAGTGAGGCTAAACAAGAGACTCTCAGGTAGCCACACAGAGAGCCTTTTTCTTTGTCATTTGTTCCCCACCAAGGGCCCTCGTGGATAAGAGGTTTCAGAGAAAGGCATTGCCTTGTCACAAGAGAGCACTGTTCCTTTTCCAGATAGGGCCCTTTTCTGCTTCCAAACATGGGTGAGGTGCAAGAGCTCCCAGGGAATCATTTCCCTCCCACTATTCTAGACTATGCATTTTGGCTTAAACAGATTTTTTTGGTCCCTAAACTCCCAATCTTCACCATCCTCTAGCACTCTCAGATGCCAAACAAAGCCCACAGGAGCTGTGGGTTGGCTACTTTGCTCACAGGCCCAGAGCTTGCACATTTCTTAGAGCACAGAATATTGGCAGAAAAGGACACATTGTTCTCACTTACATGGCCTTTGTCATCCATTTCATTGTTGGTGAGTTTCACGCGATCAAAACTGATGATCTGCCTCATCCAGGTCTCTCCTGAGCAGGGCGAATCCGGGTGGACATAGATCCTGGGAGTGATGCACGTGTGGTCTGTATTCCCAGCTACCATCCACTGTGAGCTGTGGTAGACATACCTGAAAAGGCATGGGGAGTGGCATTAGGTGCAGGTAGCCAAAGCCAGGAGTGCTGGAGAGAGGCTTCAGGGTTCAGATCCAAAGGGACTCAGTCGAGATTAGTTTGCTCATATCAAAGGCAGGAGGGCAACTTGATTTCCCAAGAGCCTCTGAGGCAGAAAACAAACTCTATTTAGAGCATATGTTATAAAAAATGTTATATCTTATTTAAGCATATGTTATAAAAATGCAAAAAAGTGCCAGGGTGAATAAAACACCATTGGATTTTGGATTCTGGTTTGTATTTCCTTACAGAAACTGCAGGATAAATTCATCTAACCCGTTTTTCGGTGCAGAAATGCCAGAAAAAAAAATCCACGTGTGTCAGGAAGAAGCAGAGAGACGAGGTGGATGTCTGTTTGGCCCAAGGCCTCTAGTCCTCATCAAAGTGCTTTCACCAGCACAAGAATACCCACATAACCTTGCTCAGTGCAGCCGCAGGGCTTATTTTTGGAATCTTTCCGATCTCAACCGCTTGCAGCTGTGCGCAGCATTCCCAAGTGTGCAGCACAGCTGCAACTCAAGAAGCAAGCAGCTTGTTCTGCTGTTTCCAGGCCAAGGTCCCAGCAGGCCCGCGAATTATGCCTTCTCCATTGCTCTCACACCCAGCACTGATTGGAGGCAAGCTGTCTCATTGGAGGGCCAGGCATCAACCTCTTGGTCAAGCTCTCACAGGTCCAGTGCCAGTGGCTCCCACACATTTCCTGAAGCTCTTGAATCAAAGCAGCCCAATAGACCCATGCCTTTGGGCTGCCTGCCCAAATGGGTTTCTTGGCTTCAGGGCAATTCAGCCTCTTTGACCTTGCTCTGAATCAAGGGCTTAATTCAAGAGGAAAGTGTACCCCTACCTTCTGGGTACCAGCTGCCAATTCAGGTGGTGAGGCTGGGGAAGGAAGGAATGACCTAGTCAGAGTGATAATTGCTGAAAGTCTAGCCTCAAATGGGAACTTAGGTCATTGCTGCAGGCACCCGATGGGGCCAGGGGGGCCCAGAAACCTGGGCATTTCTCTCCAAACTCTTCCAAACTTCGTTCTTTAGGAGGCCAGAGCCCATTTCCCACTCTCTCTCCTGCAGTTTGCACAGCAAAGGAAAATAGTCTGTGGTAGTAGTAGTAGGCTAGAGACCTGGGGTACACTGAAGCTCCAATGTGTACCCTTGTTCCAGGAAAGAGAGAGAAAGGAAAACAAGCCTGCTCTTTCCTCAGTCCACACCTCAGGTTTGAGCAAGATTATTCAATGCCCAAAGCTTATGGCAAAACAACCCCCTCCTCCCTTTCTAGGGTTTTCAAGATAGTGCTATCAGATTTCAAGCCCCAATCTCCTGCTCCTACATGGTCCTGCATACACTTTTATGTCCCAGTTACCTGTAGCGTTTGGAATCCACTGGCACCACGTCAATGGCCATATAATATTGCTTCCCTGGATCTAATCCTTTTACTTTGACCTGAACAGAGGGAAACATGCGCCTGTGGAGAGAAGACAGGGACAGACCAAGATGCTTTTAGAGACTTTTGGAAGGGAGAGGGGCCGGAGAGAAATGCTGACTCCAATGATAAGTGAAGGGATACCTTCCTATCCCCAGGACAGGTTTAGGAAATAATAATCGCTGTAAGACGAAAAACTGTTGGTTTGTGTGTTTCATTAAACAAGTGAAGGATTTCTGAGTGTAGCAGAATATCCTTATCACAACGCAAGCCAAAGGCTTTGTCTATCCTAAAGACGAGAAAGTCGGAGAGGAAACCAGTCTCGGTCTCTCCCCTCCCCCATGAAGTGTGTGAAGTACCTTCTGTGAGGCAGATTTTCTGTACTTTCTGTGAGGTTGATTTGGAAAATGCTGAAATTACGAACACACACACCTACAAGTCACCCAGCTGCTGTGAAGGGGCTCCTTCACACCAAAGGGTCTATGGGAGAAAGGCCCACCTGAAAGTGGCCTGGGCCCTAAATGGCGGCCTGTGACACAGGATATTTTCCACTGGTGGGTGTAAGACTTTAAAGGAGAAGCCTGGCCACCACCTAAGATGTGGGGCTGGCATCTGGCAAGTGCCTGCACAGATCAGATATGGTACAGACAGTATATGAAGTAGTGACTTCTTGAAGTTACAGGGTATAAGAAAGGAAGACCAAGTCACTAATTCAAGCCAGGCAAGTTCTAGCCTGACTGCTTGAGGGGCAGTGGCTTTCTAATGCCTGCCCAGAGGACAGGGAGTGGTGATGAAGGTACTGAAGCTTAAAATTGGAGGCATTGCATCTCACGGGGTGGGTGAGGGGTGTTACATTAAGCTCCTATTGTGTGCAAGGTTCGCCCCACAGCCCATGAACAGCTTGGGTAGAGCCGAACCTGCCCGCCTTGGTAATGATCATCTCAGTCCCGATGTCATGGAATCTCTTCCACAGCTCGGATCCTTGAAGTTCCACTCCGATACCATCTTTCTCTGCTAGATTTTCGCTGCTGTTGCCGCTGCCGCCGCCGCTGCCGCCGCTGCTGCTGCTGCTACTGCCTCCGCCGCCACGACCACAGCCAGAGAATGCAGTTGCTGCGGGTTCTGTCTTGGGTCGCTTTTGTGCTGGACACAGAGACGCCAAGGGTTTGAGAGAGCTTTGCAGTTTGTGCACCTCCTTGCTGGCGCCTGTATCCAGGCAGGCTGGCTTGTCCCTTCCCCAGAAACCCTGGCCATGGATACCCAACCTCCCGCCAGCATCCCGTGGAACCTGGTAGTGGAGAGAGAGAAGTCCAGATCGCACCCCTAGAAAGACGTGGCTCTTCTTCAGATTTGCCCATCCTCATTCTCCTGGAGACTTTCTGTCTTGGAGACTGGATCGCCCAGAGATTTGAGGATTTGCTCTCATTCCTACCCCAAGACGCAGCTATCCCACTAGAACTCTGGGCTTCGCGGAGGTCTGGGAGCTTCACTTCTCCACAAGCTGGTGGGGAGCCTCCACTTCACCGCAAATAAACTGCAGCTCTCCAGACTTAGAGGTACTGAAACTTCAGCATCCAGGTGGCCTAGGTGTCTCCTGACCCCGAACGCTGCCTCCCTCCTAGGCCAGGACATCCTTGGCAAAGCAAACCGCCCACCCGCAGCGCCGCGGATCCCGCATAGTGAGCAGCAGAACCAACGTGCTCAGCCAGGTGGACCCAGGGCTTTGGGGCTGTGTAGGCTACTTACCAGGCTGTTCACTCTTCTTGCCTGCTGCGCAGCACCTCCTCTCCTCCTCTGTACCCTCTTTTTCCTGACGCTCAGGCTGTAATTCCCCTCTCGGGTCTTGCAGTTTCCTTTTGTTGGGTTTCCCTACCAAGGCTTCCACTGAGAAGGCATGTGCCCCGGAGCTCAAAGCCATCCCTAGAGAAGCCAAAGGCAAAGTGCACAGCAAAGTTTTAACCAGAGTCTGGGGGGAGGGGGGAGGGGGAGGAAGGGAGGGTGCAGAAGATAGGCTAGGGAGAGAAAGCTGAAAATTTCCCAAATCCAAAACAAAACAAAAACTATTTCTGGTTATGGATATATATGTA